ATACAAACTTGTTTTAAAATTTTGATAAGGAGATATAGTTACGCTAAGTCTACTCAGCGTCCCTTGTATAAATTAATTATGTCTCAAATCCTTTAACTATTGCATAGATACTTTGTTCATTCAAAGAATATAGCAGTATTTATAAGCACTTTTGACTTATTCCACCTTTAATTGGAATTTAATTAGTGAGAAATTAACTTTTGGTCACTGTGTTTTATTTAAATATGTATAAATATTTATTTGAGTGATACACTGATAGACAAAGTTAATTATTTTCTACAAAACTAATATAATGTTACTTTGTTATTATGTAAATGGATGAAATTAAAAAAATCTAAGCATAAGTAAATCGAACTTCAAGAGAATAAAGTATTTATTAGTTTCATAACTTTATATAAGACATAAATGGTTTGATCGCATTATTAAATTATAATTTTTTTTTGTATAAATACTTATAAGATACTTGAATTTGAGAGGTCTGTATACATTACACAATTTGATTGTCACTATAATCAATCATAAAATATACAAGAATAGAATTAAGTAAAAAACAAGATAAAATTAAAGATTAAGAGGTTAAAAAGCTATAAAATAATTCATTTTATTAATAAAATATAATAAAATAATCACAAAAATTAACATGATTACGAAGATAGAAGACAAATAGGAAAAAACAAGAATTAAGTAGAATTTTGAGAATCACGAAATTAAAATGATATTAAATCTAAATAAATTACTTATAATTTTACATTAACAACAATATTATTTTTATATTAATTAGATAATCCTATATTTTTTAACACATGAATAGATGACTAAACAAAATAATAATAACATCTCACTCAATTAAAAAAAATAATACACTAAATGTACTTAATTAAAAAATATAAAAAGTTTAAATTCTCAATAAAAAATAATAATAAAACTTTAATTAAAAATGCTCAGAAAAATCTAATAAAGATCCAAAACTTAATTAAGTATTCTATAAATATATTTGTTCATTGAGATGTATTTAGTCTCGTCTTACTTTATAATTATCTTTACTAATCTAATCTTATCTTCTTTAGTAATTATAATTATACTTATATTTTAAAAATATAATAATTATTAAATTTAAATTTCTCATAATATGATAATAACTTACAATTAGAAATATTATTATTATTAAAATAAAAAAATTGATGAAATTGTAAGTAAAAGCTTGACTCAATATTCAAATAAATAAATAATAATTTTTTAAATATAGAAAGATTGTTTATTCAACTAGTAGTTAGAAAATTAATTCAAATGTTTTAATTAAGAATATATATACATATTATTTTTTTAATCATAATATTTTTTTTCACTTTTTTATTTTATTTTTTATGTAAAATAATAAAATTAATTTAAATATATTAATATACTAAATTATCTTAACAAATGTACTCCATACCAATTGAAATCCAGTCAGAGTCACAAACTCCTTTTATTTAAAAGAATATGATTATTAACCTTGACTTCTTATTCTTGCATAATTGTTCCTATCATCTTGAAAAGATCCATATTTTTTCTATCTCATACCACTCATATCAATCATTTAACAAACACGTTCATACAAACATTATAATATAATAATACAATTAAAAATAAGAAAGAATTATGAATAAATAAAACTCGTTCTTTCTTCTTACCTAATAAATATATACTTTTATCTTATATTTTTTTCATCTTATTAGTAAATTGAAAAAACAAAAAAAAAATATTAAAAATATTATATTTTAGAAAAAAGTAATTATTTTAGTTTGTAACACATTAGTAGTTATTGCAAAGTAAAAGAAGCACAAACTTAAAAAATAATTGTCGAAATTTTTAATAGTCATTTTATAATGGAATATATATATATATATATATATATATATATATATATATATATTATAAGTTAATTTATAGTAAAATTTATAATAATTAAAAATATGAGAACCATTTATATTTTAAATCATGATTTTTAAAAAAAATCATTATTCTCACGTTTATCTTATTTCTAAACTATCACAAAAGTAAATCACAGTACACTTTGTAAACAACTAAAATTCATGTGGTGTTCGCTCAAAACTCACTGTTACATTGATTTTTTTTTTTTGATAGTAATAATAATTTAATGGCTCAATTTTTAATTTATATTTTCTTAGCTTTTTAAAGGTTGAGATTTTAAGCACTATCTGCGTTTAATTCGGCTGTTACCAAATCTCGTTCAAATAATTTGAAGTAGATATTTTCTAAATGTTCACTTCTTTTGTTTTTTATTTGGAAAAATCTTCAATCATTTTGAAATTTAATCAGGAATTCAGAAACACAAAAAGATTAGACTTTGTTTGAAGATAGATATTAATTTTAATGAATGAATATGTAAAAGAAATATGAGAACGATAACTTTCCGAACTTATATTAAAAGTATAATCAAATAATGTTTTCACTTGTTAAAATCAATGTGTTAGTTTATAAATTGTTATTATATTATTATAAAGTTCATAAAACGTAAATTAAAAGTAGTAATATTTAATTCTCGACAGCTAATTGGTAGATAGATTTTACATTGTTATGTTATGTTATGAAGAAACTAAATCAAACTATTTACTAATTATAAAACTAAATTAAATAAAATATACAAATAATAAGGAAAAAAAAGTAACCTTTTTTTCATGTATTCCTTTTTAGGAAGGTTCACGGCAACCAATATGACACAACCAACAAAACCTATGCAATTTTTCTATCTTCTAATTTTTCAAAAGTGAAGAAACAGAATTTAATAATAACATATTTTTGTGTAGCGAAAATGATTGAAAAATGAATAAGTAATCCATTATTATATTATTATAAAAAGGACTTTATCATAGATATATATCATACGACAGCATTATATAGTTTTTTTTGTTAACCGGAAATCTTTTATTTTGCGTTTTTAATTCATAAAATATGCACTATGATAGTTATAGTTATTGTAATAAATATGCATTTAAAGCAATAATTATGATTACTAAATATGCTTATTAAAGTAATTAAATCTATCTATATTAAGATAATTAGATCACTTTCATGGTTAACAGACTTTTCTTTTTTTCTTTGTTTGATAATCACTTCCCACATTAATTAAGTAGTGGTGGAAAGTCTTAACGCGGAAGAGGGAATTTTACTGGATGGAAACATTCAAAAAGTGAAATCAAAAGACAGTTTAATAAAATTACAATAAATAATAGGTTTGATTTTGAAGTAGTCCAAGATCCGTTTGATACTTGATTTAGGTCATGTCTTAAAAAAAAATCACAAATTTTATACAACTCACATTTTACCTTTCGGGTTTCAAGAAATGGCAGTGACTTGAAAGCGCTTTATCTCTACTTAATGAACTAGTTTGGATTAAATATATTTTAACCACCACTTGTTAAAATTAATAGGTTTTATCACCTGTTCATTTAATTCACAATAAATATTGAAAACAGCATAATAATATATATAATTCAAATGCAATTTTCATTTATAATATAATAATAAATTCTTTATCTTCTTATAAAAAATAATAAATTCATATAATTAAAGCAACACATTTATATTACTTCAATTCATTAATAATGTCAGTTTTATCCTAATAAATTACTTTTGTATATAACTGTTTAAAAAATTGTTTTAAAATTGATAATAAATTCAAAATAGTCAAACATAATATTAAAAGTTCAAAAGTTTAAAATATAAATAAAGTTTTATAAAAGAGTTTCATTATTTAAAAATACACATTATATCTAAACTTTTTTTCGTAGGACTTTATTTTTTTACTTTCCTTAGTTTGTTTGAAGATTGAAAACTGTTTGAATGATTCTTAATTTGAACTTTTTATTTCTGTTTAATCAATTTCTTTAATAGAGTAAGTTGATTTTCTACTCCTTTTATTGGTTTATATGTTCTTTTTATGCATGTGAATTATCTTGATTCGCATGTTGAGTTTTAGTTTTTTATATGAATCTTTGCTGATTAGTGGTTTTAATAATGTGTCGTAATTATTTACGTGTTGTTCTTATGTATAGGTAGAACATGTTGTGAGCTTGAAGGAATTTATGATTCCTTAGAACAATTTCATCAAAGTAAAGAAAACTAATTGCACAATTTTTATGTGATTGATACTTTATAATTGTTAATTGTATGATTATAGAATGATTTACTTGCATAGTTAAGTTGTGTGATGAAACATGCATATGATAGGTTGAATTAAGATAGGGTTTTGATTTGACTTACTTGAATTGTATGATGAAATTGAGAATGTTGTCTGATTGATATTGCAAATGATATTGCTTGAATAAGTGAAGATTGTGTAATTTTAATTTGATATGTTCTGGCATATGTGTTGGCTCTTGAACGTAATTTGCAGGACTGGAATGACATATATTTGCATAATTATGTTCTACAAAATTATATAAACTCATTGGTCGAACCAAATCATATAATTACTGACTGGATGATCTTTAGATGATGATATACTTGTTGGAATTGGAAAATTACTAACTTAGTGATCGCTAAATGTAAATATATTCACTGAATAAAACCAAAGTCAAGAAACTCAGTAACTTAACAATCGAATGAAACTAGTCTAGTATCAATATATTCTTAATTTTATAAAACCTTTATAAATATTTTAATATTATAATTATATTTTGAATAATTAATATCAGTGAATTATCTGTTATTAAATATTAACCATGATATTTTGTTTTAATATTGATATATAGTATCTCATTCCAAAAATTGATCTCATAACTGTATGTATAATTTTTATTAAGTGATAATAATGAAAAATTTGAGATTTTGTAGCCGTGGGTGTATTGTGTGATTGTGGGAAGGTCTAGAATTTTCAGTGCTGTTAATAGTTAGTTTTTGTTTTTGACAAGTGGTTTTGTTTCTTAGTCGCTTTAAAATGTTAATAATGGTTAATAATTGAGGAGAGACAAATATAGTAAATAAAAAGAAGGAGAAGGGCAACACAGTCCGAATCATCCTCTTCTTTATCTCTCCGCACACACTTATTTCGTATCTGTTCTTCCCTTCTCATTTTATCAATTCTTTGCATCATCTCCTTCTCCTCACATTTTCTACACAAAAGGGAAATATATCTCTGCAATTTGAAATTAGGGTTAGGGTTTTCGCCCAAAAAAGGAAGGGGGAAGAAGGAAGCTGGACAAGAACAACCGTTCCTTTATGATACAAAAGGTTTCTCAGATCGTCTTCTTCATCATCGCGTTATTAATTTTGGTGGCGCAATCCTCTGCGGCGTTCCACGGTAGCAAAAACAGCATCATGAAGGTTCATCCTGTTCCGCGAAAACGCAACATCTCAATCCAGTTCGGCGTAGACGGAGGGAACACCATGTCAGAGGCGCAGGCGCTGTTGGGGATCGCCGGCAAGAAGCTCCGGAGACTCCCGCACGTGTTCAGCTGCGTCCTGGAGCTCCCGTTCCGCTCCGACGCCGACGTGGTGGTGGAGGAGGACCCTGACTGCTTCCGCTTCGTGGCGGAGACCGACGGTATCGTCGACGTGAGGGCGCACACGGTGGAAATCCACCCTGGCGTGACGAAGATCGTGGTGAGGGACGGAGGCTCGGTGGAGCTCTCGCTCGACCAGCTCGAACTCGATATGTGGAGGTTCCGGTTACCGGAATCGACGCGGCCGGAGCTTGCGAGCGCTGTCTTCGTCGACGGAGAGCTCATCGTGACGGTGCCGAAGGGGCACGGAGAGGAAGATGGGGATGGTGATAGAGGTATGGGTCGTGGTAGACTTGTGCTTGTACAGTAATGGATGAGTGAGTGAGTGAGGTAATGAATGATTCTTTTGTTAACTTCTTGTTGCCCTCCAAACATGGCCATATTAGTATGTTGGTTAGATTTCAGGTTGTTGTTGGACCTAGTTTCTCTGTGAATTTTATTGTTGCTGTTGTTGAATCAGGAACAAAAATGTTCTATCTGGAGAATGGTTTATTCATGGCAATGACAATTTTCGTAAATAGGTGTAACCGTGTTCTTGTGCTCTTTTATTTTCTCGGTAGACATCATGTGGATAACTCTGGTCATGAAATTGGTTAACTTTGTATGTGCAGTTGTATATCAATTTTTTTTCTTGAGGTGGGAAAAATTTTAGGGAGGAATACGGTTGTCTTGATGAGTTTGGATCTTGAATGATGAGTGAAAGATGGAGAGTGACATTAGTTCTCACAATAAGAGAAAAATAGACATCAATTTAGTCTCTTAATGACGTGGCTTATGCACAAAGGATATCTTTTGGTGTTACTTTTTTTGATTAAGGGATTGGATTAATTTCAACCCAATCTTTTTAGGAAATAAAGTTAACTTTTACACAGTTTTAGCAAAACTTTGAAAATTAATGTTTGAAAGGGAGGGGGAAGCAGAAAAAAGACGATAGGAGATTATTATGTTTTCTTAATCGCAAATGTGGTTGTTCAACTAATTGCATGTTAAATAGTTTATTGACTTCAAAAGTATTTGAACATACGGAAAGGGATCTGGATTCTGCAACTTTTAGATTTTATATGTGGGGGGTGTGTAAAAGAAAAGCGTGGTTGATGTGACAAGTGGTTGAGAGAAATAAAGGGTGATTTTTAAGTAGGAGGAAGAGAGAGTTCATGGATATTTTACGTGAGAAAAAAATGAGAGATGAGAGAATCCGGACGGGAAGAGGCTAGCAGAAATTGACAGAATGCTAAAGAGAAGATGGATTGAGAGGAAGTCCTAGAATCATTGGAACTGGGTTTATTGACAATGGTGGAGGTCTTGTTTGGTAATTTGGTTATCAAGAGAACTGAGCAGTTGGAAATAATGTAATAATTTTTTAACTTTTACTTGCTATTTTTATGATTTCCACTGTTGGTTTATTTCTATTTCGGTCCTTTGGACTGGAAGGCGTTTAATGAGGTTGCTTGATGGGGGTGATATGCGTCTTTATCTTTTCATTGCATTCAAGCCACATGATAAAATGCCTGCAACTCTGAAGTATCCTATTTTGCCGTCATGGGATTGTAGGATGTTTGGCAGGACTTTTCTTTTTCTCATGGAAGGGATCTCATTGTAATGTATAGTGGTTTTATTTGATGAAAGACTCGGGTAGAGGTATTTGTTTAGTGACTATCTTATTGATGTCGTAAGTGTGTGGCCTGGAATCTTTTCCGAAATATTCTTCTAATGACCTCTTTGGTTTTCCACTTCATCAACTAAAAAATATTCTCAATATGTTGTGGAAATGAATGAAATTCTAATTCTGAATATGTTGTGTCCTATGATTGGTGTCGTGTTGGACTGACAACAGTGCCTCTTAATCTATTTGTCTTTTTTCTGACGTGTCCTATGTAAATTTCAAAGGATAAGATAACCTTGCTTTTGGTTATACCCGTGTGATATGTTTTATTTAAATTCCAGCTGTGGCATTAGAGACATGTTCTTTGGGAATATGTGCAGATTTGTAAAGTACAGGGGTTGAGGATATATAGCTGCAATTTTCTGCATGTGGTGGGGTTGGCTTCATATATGTTAATGATACATTGCATATTGAATGAATTAGTCTGTTCAGCTTACATAATGTGAGACGAGAAAGGCCATCTTTTCAAATCTCTTGAATGTTTTGTTGGCATTTGAACAAACTAGGCCAATTCTTTGTATACTTGCCTTTGAATCTCATCTCTTCTGCTGAAGTATTAAAGTGTGCCCACTTTTTAATGTTAAAAGTACATTGGAATCACGAGCTTTGATTACGTCTCGAACTTTCCTATTAATCTCTTTATAGTGTGTCTGATTACTGCTTTATATGCACTAATACGCAACTTAAGTATTTCACGCCGCAGTACTGCTTAGGTATGATTCCCCTACGCCTCATGACATAAATCACTTTCATTCATTTTCTGCATTTCGGCTTCATTTATATTGTAAAGGAATCTTTTAAAATATGATTATACTATATATAGATGCTGGTAATGCTAATACCGTTTCTTGTGTGTACAATATATATACAGCAAGTATTTAACAACTGCGTCATAAATGTTAAAAAAAAAAAATCCACTTTGTATTTAGATTTTCAACCCAATTCCTCTTCACTCCTTTCAGTCATCTTTACATGAAAAAGAGGGATTAACGTGAGATAATATTGTTTAGTTTATGCATTTCTGAAAGTCTGTTCATATGTTTTTTAAAATATTTAGTTTGAATTTGTGTATAAACTACATTTTAATTTGTAAAACAATCTGTTTTTGTTTTCTCATTTTCTTTCATAAAAATATTTTTAGGTATTAATCTAAACAGAATCTAATATTTAATAGAACGGAATAGTTTTCTGATTTTATAAACATCAAAATATCATATACCTTTCTTAAACGCAGGAATTAAATCTCACATTACATAACTTTTGAACATTAATATGCACTTCCCTTTTTTTTCATAATTATTTGTTTGACTTCAAATTATTTAATAATTTGAAAGTTTTAGTTTATTTCTCTTTAAAATATTTCTAATTTAGAAATTTGAGAAAACAGTTAGTTTCAATCACTTTTATATTAATTGGTTTCTCAATTTTAATGACTAATGATTATGTTTCAACTCTATACAGGGTATTTTAGTTAAAAAAAGAAAACATTCTTTATACTACCATAATTCATCATTTTTCTTCAAAAAACAATGTCTTTTAAGACTCTTGTGTTTTTGAAGAGGGGGAATTTATTAACCAAGCCCATGTCGTCAATAGTGAAAGAGAGACTTGATGAAAAGACAATGATACTTTTAGAAACTCTTATATCATAATGTCTTGGGATATCATTAAATATTGTATTGGGTCCATGCATACTGACAATGACAAAAAAAAGCAAAAGCCCAGAACTAATTAGACCGATGGATATAGAAAAAAGGTCCGGTGCTTTGAGAACTAAAACAATAAATTTTTTTGCATTAAATTATGATGCATCTTTCATAATCTCAAATTAAAAGCCTACTAAATGTTGGACATTTTACAAGTCACTCCAGAGGCTACTACTAAAGTTAAAAGAACAATATAGAACATGAATTTAATAGAAGAAGAGATGGAAAAGGGTGAAACTGAAATTAAATGTTCTTAATGTAAGATCTGCATAGAAAAAAAAATGTGCTTTTGCTACTCTTTTGATTGTTTACAAAATTTACCAAAGAAACATATAGATGATTTTAAAACGACGGTGATAGGTGATAAATTTGCAATAAAAAGCTACCAATATAGATATACTCTACCAAGTAAACAAACATGTATGTTTGACAACATAGGATTTGAAATCTTATAAGAACTTATTTTTTCCACCTAGCACTTCTATGTTGTGGTAGGAAAGATTACAAAGTATGAGAATGGTAAGAAAAATTGAATCCACAAGAGATAAATCATAGTTATCCATTGAACTAAAATACATATTTTGATTTGAAAAGATTATATCATTCTTATTGATATTCGATGACTCTGTATTAGTTTATTTAGTTTCTGTCAAAAGACGCATAGTTTGTCCATCTTCCAACCCAAAGGAAGTGAATGACGTTCTCTTCTAATAACACAGATATTTGGTGTCTTGCTATCTGTGAGAAGTGTAGAAATATCTGGAACACCTAAATGGCATTACATGGACACCGTCCACCGCCATTTCAATGTTTAATTTAAGAGGAAGAAAAGTGACACAGGATTAAAAAATATAATTACGTTGTAAAGAAAAAAGCTTGGTGGAAGCAAATGGAAAAAGAAGGTAGATGGAAGCGAAACGAGGCTGAGGCTGAGGCTGACACGTTCCCATGCTACTACTGATCTTGCTGCCAAGTGTAACGTTTGGCCACGTATTCTCCCTCTCCACCTCCATTGCAACTTATTTATACCAATTTCATTACAAAACCATTTCAACATACTCAACTTGATTATCGAAATATACCAAACGGAGAAGATGAGTCAGGACCAGCCAAGGCGTTCACAACCAGGCCAAGACCCCATCAAATACGGCGACGTTTTCGATGTCTCCGGCGACCTTGCAAATAAGCCCATTGCACCGGAAGATGCTGCCATGATGCAAAGCGCAGAAACTCTAGTGTTGGGACAAACCCAACTCGGCGGGGCAGCTTCCGTCATGCAATCCGCCGCCAATCAGAACGAACAGGCTGGCCTCGTTGGTCACCTGGACGTCAACGACGTTGCCGGCGACCAAGGCGTCACCGTATCGGAAACTCGATTCCCTGGAAGACGCATAATCACCGAGGCTGTCGGCGGCAAGGTTCTGTTTTTATTTTTCGTCAACGTCATTATTTTCTAAAATGCTGACTCTTTTAAGAAACAAGAAGAAGATTTATGCGAGATGTGTATGTGTTCTGTGATTGAAGGTTGTGCAGCAGTATTCTGAACCGACCCCGGTTCAAACCGGACGAGCTAGTGCGGTTGGGGATGGTGCAATAACCATAGGGGAGGCGTTGGAGGCCACGGCCCTGACCGTGGGCCACAAAGCGGTGGATCAGAGTGACGCTTCCGCGATTCAGGCGGCGGAGGTGAGGGCAACGGGAAACAATGTCACACCGCCTGGTGGGTTGGCGGCTATGGCTCAATCGGCGGCTGCTTATAATGTTGACTGCACCCGTGATGACGATAAGACGAAGTTGGGGGACGTTTTGAGTGGAGCCACAGCGAAGTTGGCCGCGGACAAGGCGGTGACACTGGAAGATGCGGAGAGGGTGGCGAGTGCTGAGGTGAGAAACAACCCGGATGCGGCTGCCACTCCTGGCGGCGTAGCGGCTTCGGTGGCGGCTGCTGCTAGGATCAATGAATGTGTTAAGTAACGTGTGGTCTATGTGTGTTGGCAATGATACTTGTGAGTAGTGGAATGAGTTGTGTGTTATTTATTCTGTTGTTTTATGCTTCTAATCTAGTTTTAAGGACTCTACTATGTATGCTATGGTTTCATCATGTGGTCGTTAGTTAAAAATAATTGAAGACATGTCAACTATATTACCTACCCCCATGGTCAAAGTATTTATTTTTGAAGTCTTAAAAAAAGTTATAAAATTTATGTGAGCTAAATTGAAAAAAAGAAAGAGTTGTTAAAAGTTGGGTATGGGTTTATCTATGGTAGTTGGATGAAAGAATGTTTTGATGAGAGAAGATAAAAAGAAGTGGAAGATGTAGCCAAGAATAGTAGCTATAAATGGGAAATTGGAAGGACGAAGATGATGAATGCAATCACGTGATTCGATGGTAGGAGGAAGGAACGAAGGACACTCTCAGTCACATGGGACAGGCAGATTAGAGACAAACTCTGATTAACAGCAACAAGTTTTGAGTGTGGGGGCTTATTTTGTCCCCCACAATATGCCATTTATATAATTCATAAATTGGCTGTAATATATAAAAAAATGTGATCATATAATTCATACATTGGTTGTAATATATAAAAAAAAATGTGAAGTTTTTATACCATAATCCAAATCCAGTGATGTTGGAGATGTGGTGAGGGAATAGAGCAGACACCATTGGATGAAATAGGACATGAGGCACGTGATAAACACTTCTAACATAATTGGAACTGGGAACCTCAAATTAGAGGTATTTTCTTCAGGGTATAATTATTCATGAACTTCTTTTCAGCAACTTTTAATGGATTTTTATCACCCAATATTTTAGATAATCTTTGGGAGATTCAAGAAATTAATTCATGAATGTTTTTTCTTGAGTAACTCTTGATGGATTTTTATCACAAATACGCTATCTATCTCTTTACAATATGTGATGTTAGATCTTTGGGAGAGTCAACATGAAACGTTAATTCTTCTGCAAACATTAAATGATTATTCTATAATAAGTTTGAAGATTTACACCATAATAATAAATCATATTTTAACCTATCTTTTTCATTAAATAATTATAGCTTATTTAAAATCTTAAAATAAAATCTTGAAACGAAATAGCACTTAGATCTTTTTTAGCAGGAACATCGGAATTCGATCAAAAACATGTTCATAATTCAGTTTAATTCTGAAAATTCTGAACTACATGTTCAAGATTTGAAACTATCATAACCAGAGTTAAATTAATCTAACCATTATTAATTTACTCCAACGACAATTCAATTGTAAGATTATTATTAATTTTGTTCATTTATATGAATTTAATTATAATCTGTAGCAGTAACCGATTACCCAGAAAAAGATAATATTGATCATTTTTAAGTTTTTATTTTCAGAATAAATCTAGAGTATTAATTCATAATTAAATAATGGTATAAAATATTTATCAGATTCAATTTCATATTTACATATATGTTATGAAGTTACGAATTTTGTAGTTTGGGTCTGAACAAATTTGGTCTGATATTTTTTTATTAAAAATTACTCTTATTTTTCAGTTTTTGTTTTATTTGTAAAAGGGAAATAGAAGGATAGTACTGGTGTACCTGGTAAATTTTGAGTAGTGTTCACTGGCACATGATAGTGTGTATGTTTGGGTTAAAATGGAAATAATTCCAAAACATTTTTAGTTTCAAAGAAATAATTTTACTTTTTCGTTTTTATATAGAAAATTATAAATTCATTTTCAAGGTTTAAACCAAACAAAAATATATGTAAAGTCACTTTCATGTTGAAAATAGTGAGTATGTAATTTCTCTACCTTTTAAGATAGGTTTATTATTTGTTATATAACCACTTTATTTTTCATGTTATGTAACGTTCTATGTGTAACTGAGTTACAATCACTAAACTTTTATTTTCAATTAGTTGAAAGGTTTTAATACACCAATGTATCCTTATTTTCCTGGATATTACAACTTTTTTATTTATTTATTAAAGATTAAGTAAAATTTTAGAAATCATAATAAAAGTAAAATGAAAAAAGATATGAATAAATTTTTATAGTGTTATTAGTTTCATCTGAGGAATAGGACTAACATAAAAAAGTTAAATATATAATAAATGAAATATAAAAAAATCCATAGGCATAAATCTTATTATGGGACATAATTTTTCTTAAATTTTAAATAATATCATTTTTGTATAAATTAAAACATAATTATAAAAAAGTTAAAAAAATATTTGTAGTTGACTTTCCGTCAGTAGAATGAAAAAATTAACATAAGTTCAATATATTTGTAATGGATTTTCCGTCAGTGATATTTGTAATTTGATTTAATCTTTTAGCATAAGAAATAAAATAAAGACAAAACTGGATCAAATTTTAATTAACCACTTGTTATTTAAATCAGTTTTCAATAGCTCACTTGTTTAAATAATATTTTATGCATTTTGTTTATTTATCCTTCTCGATTTTTTTCTTTTTTTATCCGCGAACACTTAATATATATATATATATATAATTCGAATGACAAGTTTGACATTTTTCTAAGCTAATTATATTTAAAATACATCATCCGTACATTTAAAATACATACTTATATATGGTATTTTAATATGCAAAATTTGTAATTTAATATTTCCTCTGTACTATTTAAATAAATCCTTTTTGTACTGAAATAATTTTGGAGATAACATTATCAACAAACAAATTTTAAAATAGAAATAAACTCATGTGGAAGTTCTTTTTTTATTTTTTACTTTTAAAAAGAATTGGTCTGAGCCCTACCTACATTGGGACCCCCCATGTGTAGGAGTCCAGTGCAGGGATTCTCCTGTATTAAAAAAAATAATCATATACTAGTTTTGCCATTTTTTCTATAATTTTATTAATCTAATTCCTATTTTGAAAGGCGTCTAATTGAAAAACAATGATGCATTAAAAATTTATGCAGATAAAATGAGGATAAGATTTAAAATTCAGAGTCTTGATCGAAGGAACATAAGATATTTTAAGACCTTTTGTTGTTTGCACTAAAAAAATGAGTTATGAATTATACCCTTAAAAGAACATTGGAAAACCCGTGACCACAAAAAGCAGTAAAAATAGCTTTCCCCTCCTATTTCCCCCACAAACCTTCTTCTACCTTTTACCTCTTTACTATTGACAAATAATTATACATCTCGATCGTAGAATTAAACATTTTTTAAATGGTCATAAGATAGTTAACTTATAAGGTTAGATATACACATATTTATAAATTATAAATTGATCTTATCTTTAATTGATGTTATCTTTAATTAATGTAAAACTTCCAATATTTAATAATTAAATCTAATCTAATTAATTTATCACAAAACATAAATTAATATTAATTGAACATAATTATATAATGAATAATTTGAAATTTAGTTTAAAATTTATAAGTACAAGTTAGAGATAAATAAATTAATGATAATAATATTTAATACATATTTGTTGATAAAATTATTAAATTTTTATTAACTTGGACCATCAAATAACGTAACCTATCAATTTGAACAAATAAGATTCCAACATGAACTGTGACAGACAAATATTTAAAACATAATAAACAGAGAACCATAACCGAAATAATAACAATTATATAGTTGTAATAAAATGAATTTATTGTTTTTTCATTAATAATGTAGAGTGGAACAATATTTTTCTAATTTTTCAATGCTATCTTTTTCGTTATCAAATAAATATTTTTTTTATCGATTGAAAAGCACGTGTTAAAAATATTTCAATATTAAAGTAAACTCAAATTTAATAGATAAATTATTTATTGTTATAATAGATGGGTAATAAAACGTCTTAACAATTATATATTTAATTTATATTTACAGTTTTTTTCATTAATTTTTTTATAGAATCGAGTTATTGTATTATGATTAAATTTGATTATTGTTTTATTTAAATTAATTAAATATTGAATTAATTTTAATTAGGATTAATCAATTTCTTTGTATCCAATTAATCCATCGTTCTATTAGCATATGTATATATGGATTATTCTATTGAGTACAAATTAGAATCTTCAAAGCAAGTGATTTCTATGTGTTATAGTTTAAAAAACTATTTCGGGTAAAGGTTGAGATTCTTTATTATTCAAAGCATGTAAAGGTGTTATGAAGATCGCCGGACTTTCTCACGATCTTTCGAATTACGTTATTCACTCTCTTTTTTTTTTTGGGTATTGATCAAAGACACTTAGATGCTAAAGTAAGTTATTTACGTGAATTATTCACGTGAGTTATTTATTCAATCATTTTTGTACTAAAGATAAATAAAATCAGAGTTAATTATCTGACATTCCTGTCAAACATATATTAAAATGAGTTTACCCTTAAGTATGATTCATTATCAATAAACAATTTTCATTATTTTATTAACTGTAGCTGTTATTATTATCTTAACCCAATCGATTAAGAGTTGTTAGTTGTTTCTTAGTTGTTTCTCTGTCCAGTCCATTAATTTCACAAGTATCCATATTGTACAAAAATCACATACATTATTAACTTCTTTAACAATAGTAATAACTCGAATAACCAGTCTTCATACAAAATTTTAAATCCCATAATTGGAGAATTAAAATATTATCAGAAAAAACGTGGTCTACAAAGCAAAATTATCAAACAGAAGTATCCTTAAACATCATTGAGTTACTCCCAGAAAAAGATAAAAAGAAGTATTAATATAATGTAACTAATATGACATTAAACCGTAGAAAGAAAATAGAAAAAAAAATTGATAAGTAGTATTTATTTAGATGAATTATGTAGCATGTGTGTGAATGATTGGTGAGTGTGAAGAGGCACAGGAAACACAGTTGTAGAAGTTTATATAAGGCATACACAAACAAACTCTTTCTCCTTCGTCCTTCCTCTCTCTCTAATTCTCCAAAGCAAAAATGCCCACCCTGTTCTCCAAACGCCTTCACCTCTGTTTCTTCAAGCTCAAATACCCCACCATTCTCCACCACCCTCACCCTCCACCTTCCACCGACAACTCCACCACCTTCACCCACCCCTCTTCTTCTTCCGACGACGACGACCATTCCTCCTCCACGGAGCCTGACTTCGCCTCCGTCTTCGCC